TTCAAAGCAATTATGCTGAAGAAATCCATTCATTTGATAAATGTGGCTAAATGTATAGGTAACATGTTACTGTGAGAAAAGAAATTTGGCCCTTTGGAAATGAATTCGCTCATAATATGCACTCAGTAATGTTAGTTTCCTTCCTCCTTGCACACAAATGCTTCATGATCACCTCTCAAGGCTGCTAAAGAAAGCATTCTTGCCCTATAAGATGGCTGGATCTCAGATGACTTCTAAGACACTTTGATTGGTTTGAAAGGTGAATAAATGACTATTTTAGAATGCTTGTGTAAAGTAAATTTTATAAGCATACCATGTTGTTCTAAAAGCTAGCCCCCTAAAACCTTAATTTTACTTCCAAAGACTTAGACTGAAGTAAATAAATTATTAGTCCTCTGTTAATAGAAATTATTTAAAGCTTTAAAATAATACAGAAAGATGATCAAATGTCCTTTCGTTGTCATACTGAAGCATTGACTGAGAGGCCCACTCAAGGATTATTTACTTCTTTAGGAAATTGCATCTTCGTTTGGCTCATTTACTAATGATTAGGGTTCTTGAAATGATGTGTTCTTACATGTTTTTTTCTGGTAGAGATGTAAAAATTTCTCTTTAGTAGAAGAAATAATCCCAAAGACTACAGATAAACTGCCCTATAGGGCAGGAGTCCCCGACTCCCGGGCTACGGACTGGTACGAGTCCGTGGCGTCTTAGGAACCGGGCTGCACAACAGGAGGTGAGCGGCAGGCCAGTGAGCTTGGCTTCATCTGTGTTTGCATCTGCTCCTGAGTGCTAGCATCACCACCTCAGCTCCACCTCAGATCACCAGGCATTAGATTGTCATAAGAGCACCAGTCCCTGGTGCCAAAAAGGTAGGGGACCGCTGCTATAGGGCATTAACCACTGTTCTGTCTAATTTAGCTCTCTTATTCTAGCATTTTTACTTTTAATACTTATGTATACACTGAATCTCTCAGATATTCTTTGAATCAGCCTTACATCCTGCTGGTTCTCCCACTAATAAATTAGTCTTTGCCATGTGTTCATTCTGTATTTGTATGTCAGTCATGTGTTTTTACTTTTTTAAATTGTATTTTGACACCCCCAAAACACCCTACAGCATTGTCTGTGGATTATGCCCCATCCTAGACAAAGTCCCTGAAATCTGCTGATTGCTGGTTTTAATGCTGTACCAGCACCTTGAAATACCTTTGTGATCATACTGGTACCTGAAGAGGTCTTCACAGGAATAAGGAAGCTGAATACCTCTGCAGGTACTCTAGAACACTGAATACAGACTTTCTAGAACTACTCTCACAAAATGAGGAACTATTCCTTCTAGCATGTTACTGTTCTTTCTATAAGCCAAGAGGATGACATTAAGAGCCTTTGTTTTAGGAGATCCAAGGGAGACAGATTCACATTGGGCCCTTCTTTTCTGTCAAACAGTATTTCTATAATCCGCTTTTGCTAGTAATGGCCATAAAATAACTATATTGGAGTAATAAAAATTGATAAAGTACCAACTGCCTCAAAAATCTAATAGCTTTGGCAGAATATACTGTAGCTCATTGTGATAGAACCTCCTTTTCCCTAAGAGGTTTCATTTTAACACTTTCCTTTTCAGACTAAGGAATAGCATAATCAAATCAAATTCAGTAAATGTGTAATGTGTCCCAGGCAACTAGGCACTGCTCTGCCTCGATCCCCCCAACCCCTACCCCACCCTGCCCCAAGTAGGCTCCACTATTTCTCAGAGTCAATCATTGATTTGTAGTTGCCCAGGATGAAAATGAAGAACAGAACCCAAATGGAGGGTTATAGTCTGCCATGTCAGCACCCGAAGGATTTAAAATAGTGAAGCAAAAGAGTGGATCTCTTTCATATTAAAAGCTTAGATATCTATAAGATCATTGAGTATTAAATACATATAAAATTGAAAATACTGAGAAACTAGTATTTATAAATATTCTGAATCAGTTTGACAACTTTGTTGAAAGACATAAAACAAATATCTTGCAATAAAAACTCAAACTCAGAAATAATACAGATATAGTGCCCATTTATATAAAAACCAAAGTGCCAACTTTCCATGTAGCATAGAAAATCCTCTGCAGAGGAAGTTTGAACTAAAATTCTAAAACACCAAGGGTGATGGGATAGAGTGAGTTGAGGATATGGAACAGGGGTAGGGGAAATTTTTTCAACCTACTTTTTTCCTGGTGATTATTAAAACAAAATTCTTTAATATTTTACTATAGAGTGTTGTTGAAAAAATAATCAGGCCAGCTTCTGCCCTGGGATATAGGGAGCTAGAAGAAGCATTGTTCTCACCCTTACAATTTTTACAAAGCTAAGCTAACTTCAAATTCATGACTTTTATTGAACCCATCAGAGAGAAGAATTTTGCTCAAGTATTTGTTGAGAGGAGTATTTAAGTACTTTGCTCATTTTTAAATTCAGTAGTTTGTTTTCTTCCTGTTGAGTTTTGAGAGTTAAAAAATATTTTAGATAAAAATCCATTGTTGATTATGTGATTTATCAATAAATATTTTCTCTGTGACTTGGCTTTTTGTTTTCTTAACAGTGTCATTCACCAAGGAAGATTTTAATTTTGATGAAGTACAGTTTATCATTTTTTTTTACAGAAATCATGTCTAAGAACTCTTTTATTAACCCGAGGTCTATGCCCATTTCGAGTTAATCCTTTTATATGATGTGATGCTTAAGTGGAGCTCTGTTTTTGCATACGTATGTCTAATTGTTCTAGTACCATTTGTCCAAAAGACTAGCCTTCCTCCTTTCCATTGCTTTTGCACCCATGTCAAAAATCAGTTGCCTATATTTATGTGGGTCAGTATCTGGACTCTCTTTTATTCTATTGGTTCGTGATTATTACTTCACCAATACCATTGTCTTGATTACGATAGCTTTATAGTAAGCCTTAAAACCAATTAATGTGATTTCTCCAACTTCATTCTTTTTAAAATTTATTTTAGCTGTTCTAGATCTTTTGTTGTTCTTTACAAATTCTGGAATCAGCTTGTCTATATTTACAATACCTTCTGGAGTTTTTATTGGAATTAAGGTTAAATCTAATGAAGTTGATCACTTCAGGGGATAATTGACATCTTTAATATGTTAATCTTTCACCACATGATTATAGTGTATTTCTCCATTTAGATTTTCTTTGACTTTTTTCATAAATGTTTTGTGGTTTTCAGCATTATAGATTCTGTGCATGTTTTATTAGATATTTCATTTCTTTTGAGCTATCGTAAATTATATTTTTTAAAAATTCATTTTCCAGTTGTTTCTTGCCACCATATAGAAATCTGGTTGCTTTTGTATCAACTTTATATCCTGCTCCCTTGTTAAGCTATTAGTTATAGGGCTTAAAAAAAGATACCCTGATATAGTCTAAGCAAACAATCATGTTGTTTAGGAGTAGGGATAGTTTGATTTCTTTCAATCTCTATGCCTTTTTTGTGTCCCTTATTTCACAGGTTGAAACTTCTAATATGATGTTTAACAGTAGTGAGAAAGGACATATTTTACTTGTTTCACCTTTAACTCTTTCAGCTCTAAATTTTTTATCAGGTTCAGGAAGTTTCCTCTTATTCCTAGTCTGCTGACAGTTTCTATCATGAAAGCATGCTGAATTTTAACATGTTTTTGTCATCAGCTGATATGATCATGTGGTTTTTCTTTTTTAGGCTTAATGGCCGATTACATTGATTTTGAACATTGAACCTACCTTGCATTCCTGGGATAAATCCCACTTGGTTGTAGGGTTTTATATATTACTGTTTGCTAATATTTTGATGGGGATGTTTGCTTCTATATTCATCAGAGATATTAGTCTATAGTTTTCTTGTTTGTACTGCATTTGGGTCTTGTATCAGGGCTTGATAAAATAAAATGGAAAGGATTTCCTCTTCTGTTTTCTGGAAGAGATCTTGCATGATTGGTGTTACTTTTTCTTTAAATGTTTGTCGGAATTTGCCAGTGGTTTGGGCATTTCTTTTAAAAAAAATTATCTGTGAATTTAATTTCCTTGCTAGATATGGCATTATTCAGATTATCTATTTCATCTTCAAGGAGTTTTGGTAGTTTGTGGTTTTTGAGCAATCTGTCCATTTCATTTAAGTTGTCTAATTTATGTTTGTAGAGTTATTAATAGTACCCCCTCATTATCCTTTTAATGTCTGCCATCTGTAGTAATAATCTCCTCTTTCATTCCTGATATTGGTAATTTGAATTCTCTTTTTTCTTTCTCAGTCTTGCTAGAGATGTATCAATTTTATTCATGTTTTCAAAGAACCAGCTTTTGTTTTCATTGATTTCCTCTGTTGTTTTTCTGTTTCTCTGTTGTGTTTTAGCTTCATCGGTTTCTGATTTATCTTGATTCTTTCCCTTTTCTGCTTGCTTTGGATTTATTTTGCTCTTTCTAAAATTTCCTAAGATGGAGTGTAGATTATTTATTTGAAACCTATTTTTTCCCTAAAAGAGCATTTAATGCTATACATTTCCCTGTAAGCACTGCTTCAGCTGCAGCCCACAAATTGGGTTATGTTGTATTTTCATTTTTCTTTAATTCAAAATGTTTTCTAATTTCTCTTGGAAGTTTCTCTTTGATTCATGGATTACTTAAATGTATGCTATCCAATATCCAAGCATTTGGAGCTTTTCCTCTTATCTCTCTGTTGTTGATTTCTATTTTAATTTCTTTGTGGTCTGGGAAAGTTTTCTTTGATTTCAATTCTTTTATATTTGAGGTTTGTTTTAAAACCTAGGATATAGTCTATCTTGTTGAAAGAATATATATTGTGCTATTGTCAGGTAGAATGTTCTATGCATATCAGCTAATTCTGCCAGGTTGATAATAGTGTCATTTCTACATATTCTTGCTGATTTGCTGTCTACTAGTTCTGTTTATTAATTAGAGAGGAGAGTTCAAGCCTCCAAATATAATTGCAATTTTCTGTTTCTAATTTTAGGTCTGATAGTTTTTGCTTCACATATTTTGGTGTTTACACATTTAAGATTGTTAAGTCTTTGGGGTAAGTTAATAACCCTTTAAGCATTATGTCGTGTCCCTCTTTATCCTTGTCTTTCTTTGCTCTGAATTCTTTCTTTTGATCATATCTTTTTTTATCCTTTCACTTTTCACCTACTTATGATATTTGAAGTGATTTTCTTATAGACAGTGTATAATTGAGTCATGTTTTTAAAATCTGTTCTGACAATCTTTGTCTTTTAATTGTATGTTTAGACCATTACACTTAATGTAATTATTGGTATGCTCATTTAGGCCTACTGTTTTATAATTTCTTTTCTTTGTGTTACCTCTGTTATTAGTTCCTCTTTTATTCTGCCTTCTTTTGGGTTATTTGAACATTTTTAGTGCTCCATTTTAATTCATCTACTGTGGTTTTTGAGTTTATCTCTTTGTATATTTTTTGTGGTTGCTCTAGGGATTATAATGTACATATTTAGCTTTGTGCGGTCTGCTTAGAATCAATACTTTACCACTTCAAGAGGAATGCAGAAATATTACCACCCTATAGGTCCCTTCACCCTCCCCCCTTTATGTTATGGTTATCTTATATATTACATGTACACCTGTTGAAAATCCCTTCATACATTGTTATCATTTTGCTGTCAGCTGACAAACATATTTTAAAGAACTTAAGAGAATAGTCTATTATATTTACCCAAATACTTACCATTTATGTTGCTGTTCCTTCATTCCAGAATTCTAAATTTCTTTCTGTTATAATTTCTTAACTGAAGAACTTCCTGCAGCAATTCTTTTAGAGCAGGTTGTTGGCTATAAATTCTCATTCCCAAAGGATATATTTGCTGGATATAGTATTATGTGTTAGCAGTTCTTTTCCCCGCTACACTTCAAGTATGTTGTGCCATCTTTTTCTGACCTCTGTGGTTTTCAGTGAAAACCCACTGAAAATCAAATTGTCGTACCCATGTAAGTTAATGTAGTGTTTTTCTCTGGCTACTTTCAAGATTTTTTCCTTTGTGTTTATATTTAGCAGTTTGATTTGGATATGTCTGCACATGGATTTCTTTGGGTTTATCCTGTTTGGGGTTTTTCACTGCTCAGGCTGTTCAGAGTATCATAAGTAGGCTTTAGATTTCAGAATAGACTGGCATAATAATGATAAAAAACTTCTTTTGAAAGTGTCTTTGCTTCATAGGGACTTGCACAGAGTAGAAATAAAAATATTTGCTGTATATCCCAGATAGAATTTAACATTGGTAGTAAATTATATTTGTAACTCCTGTTCGCTTTCAGTGATGTAGAAGATTATTGAAAATGCACTAGAATAGAGGGAATTGAGCCCAGGACAGAATGTGTTTTGTAGCTTTCCACAGTTAGTTGCAGGTCTATAAGTTAGTTTTCAAGTTCCATTTATGATACGTTACTATGCACTTACAGAATTTACCCCTCCCCCAAGTTGAAACTTTAACATGAGTATATAGTAAGATACTGATTTAAAATATCTACTTTTTAAATCAGGAAATGTCTGAAACTTTAAATTCTTTCAGGGAGGTATCAAGGCTTGGTTTGAGCAGAGATTGGTACACTATGGCCTGACAGCCAAATCTGGCCCACTACCTGTTTTTGTACAGCTCACAAGCTAGGAATGGATATTTCTGTTTTTAAATGATTGAAAAAATCAAAAGAAGAATAATAATTTCTGATATGTGAAAATTATATGAAATTCAAATTTTAAGTGTTCATAAGTGGAGTTTTATTGGAACATAGCCTTGTCCATTTGTTTACATATTATCTATGGTTTCTTTTATGCTGCAGTGACAGAGTTGAATAGTTAACACAGATTGAATGGCCTGCAAAGCAAAAAATATTTACTGTCTGGCCCCTTACAGAAAAGGTTTGCTAACTCCTGGTTTAGAATAATGTCCAGTAAATTAAGTTAGAATGTCAATGAAGTGAACTGTGTGAAAAGGGTACTTAGAATTCAAACTTTGCTTGTAATTGTAAGAGAAGTAGAAGATAAGAGTTATTAACTGATTGTAGTACTAATCTATTAACATGTTTAAGTATTTTCAGTTCTGCAGCAATATTTCACATTATCTCTACTTTTAAAAATAGCCCTTCAGGAAATCCTGCCAATTGTGACAACATGGATGAATCTGGAGAGCATTATGCTAAATGAAGTAAGCCACACAGAGAAAGACAAATACTGCATGGTATCACTTACATGTGGAATCTAAAAAAAAAAAAGGCAAACTCATAGAAACAAAGTATAGAATGGTGGTTATCAGGACCAGAGGTGAGGAGATAGGGAGAGATTGGTAAAAAAGTACAGACTTCCAGTTATAAGATGAATAAGTTCTGGGGATCTAATGTACAGCATGGTGACTATAGTTAACACCACTGTATTGTATACTTGAAAGTTGCTAAGAGAGTAGATCTTAAATATTCTCACCACAAAAATAAAAAGTATGGGAGGTGATGGATGTGTTAACTCGATGAGAATCCTTTCACAACATACATGTATATCAAATCTTCACATTGTATTCTTTATATATATTACAATTTTATTTGTCTGCTATACCTCAGTAAAGCTGAGGAAAAAAATAAATGACTAAATAAAGGGCAATAAATAAAATTAACCTTTCAGATCAGGAGAAACTGAATGGATGAAAAGGCAGAACTGTTACCTATTTGAAGATGATTGTCAGTTAGAGGCACTTGAGGCCCAAGTATGAGAGGCTTAGGGAGGTTGTCTTGGCTAGAGGAGATAAAGGGCATTATTTAAATTTTGTTTTCCTGCTTCTGAGTTGGGCTTTTTACAGGTCTATCACCTAATTGACTTTCTGTCAATAGGTTTCTTTTGTGAGGCCGTTTCTCTGTGACTAGTGAAAGGAAATGGTTGATCATCTTTAAATGAAGAAGAAAGCCCAGCTCTGACCAGGAAGGAGCCTGCCACTGCCTCTCATCCCTACCCCTATAGCAGGCCTTTCCTCTGGGCTTAGAACCCTGCCTTGCCCTCTGGCATCAGAAGTCCATTGAGATGTCCATGCACTGTTTCTCCCAACCTCTTCCCTCCATCTTAAGTACCAAATGAGCCACATATGTGCTATTCGTGTACATAAGGAAGTTTTTAGGCACAAGTTAATTTCTGTTACGCATTGAAATTTAAGCTGCTTAAGTGGGTTGCCTATCATAGAGTTCCTTGAAACAACAAATTTTAAATGCAGAATACACATTAATTTTTAGGGTAAAAAAATATTTTCTTGATTTGGAAATTTACCTTTCAGGTGACAGGAAAACAAATCTCTCTTTGTATTATGCATGCATATGAATATTCTATATATATGAATATATATGTGATTTATATGTATATGTTCATTCTTGGCCCTGTTACTACCATGAAATACAGCTATCCTAAATGCCCTGGGCCACACTATCCTGGATGAGAAACCAGGGTCTAGATAACAGTCGCTCATAGACTTTTGCTAGCTCTTTTATGGTTCTAGAGCAGTCTTCACACATACCCAGTTTACCCTGGAGGTATCTGCTGTATTTTCCTGAACAGGTACTATGGAGCTTCAGGTGTCATCTCCCTCCTCTCCTTTTTCCTCTTAGCATCTTTGGTGACCTCTGAAGCAGGGTCCTTGCTAGGCCGCTAGAGCTTTTAGACTCTGGAGGCTGTTCTTCTGTATCTGTACAGCTCCCAGTGCTGCTAATACTACTGACATGCCTGACTGTCTATGTGGGTGACCTCACTTATCCCATTACCCAATTAAGAGCATTGGTGTCTGTGCTAAGGCTCTTGACTCATCTTTCTGCTGCAGCTCTTGAGGTTGTGGGGGCTGCATATCAGCTTGCTTAGGTGTCTGTGGAAAGCTCCCCTCTTCCTGGGATTCTGAACCAAGTCCCTGAAAGCTGAGCTTTTAGATAAAACTAAGTAACACACTTCACACCATTTTCTGAATCATTCTTCCCTCATACCTTGAGTTATTGCCCCTAGATGCAGTTGATGAGCTACTATCTTCACTTGGGATACCCTTCTTTACTAGGAGATTCCTTGTTCCCTCAAGAACCTAGATTCCTGGTAACATAGGCTGCTCCTAGGCATACTCTGACAGGTGAGAATCTCACTGCTCATGCATCACATAATGACATTTTGGTCAATGATGGACCACATATACGATAGTGGTCCCATAAAATTATAATGGGATTGAAAGAATCCTATCACCTAGTGACTTCTTAGCCATCTTATCTTAATGTTGTAGTGCAATGCATTACTTGCATGTTTGTGGTGATGCTGGTGTTAAACACACCTACTGCACTGCCAGTCATAAAAGTATAGCATGTAAATACAGTACATAATCTTTGATAATAAATGACTACTTACTGGTCTTTATCATTATTTTAGAGTGTACTTTTTCTACTTATAAAAAAGTTCGCTATAAAACAGTATGCTGTTATACCAGCAGCAGCCTTATATATCTAGTGTGTACCACGTCTCTTAATGGCATCATTTTCTCTTGTGCTTGATTTAATATTGTGTGTGGTTGCTTTTTTATTTTTATTTTTTTTAATCTTTTTTATTTTTATTGCAGTTGACATTCAGTATTATGTTTCAGGCTGTGTCATATACCAGATTTAATCTTGCATTGTTTTATACAGTAACATGCTGTACATGCTTGAAGCCTGGGAGCAGTAGGCTATACCATATAGCCTAGGTGTGTAGTAGGCTATACAATCTAGGTTTGTGTAAGTATACTGTATGATGTTTGTACAATGATGAATTTCTCAGAACGTATCCCAATCATTAAGGGGCATGTTACTGTATAATATGTGCCCTATGGTGCATATATTCCTGTTTATCTCTGTCCTTGAGATTTTAAAGATGGTCAGCTGCTGTAGGAAACCCAGAGCTTAATTTTTACCTATCTAAGTAATGCCATCTGCATTCCATCTGAGATGTCGGCATTCATTTAGTCTTATGCCTGTCCAGACATTCTGCCATGTACCACCTGTGCCCACTTCAGACCTACCTGTCCA